ATATTGCATTTGGCAACTTAATTCTTATATAAAATATGTGGGAACTTTGCATACATCCACCTTATATTACAAGCCTAACTCCAAAATTCAAAATTTAGGATTTAATTGTGTATATACCTGCGAAAGATGGCTTGATCTTTCCTTCCTTGATGGCTTGCAGGTACTCCGGGCAGCTTCTCTTCTAATGTCCTATCTTGTGGCAGTGGTGGCACTCTGCCTCCTTCGGGTTAGGGCATGGCTTAGCGAGATCAACTTTGTTCCCAATAGAAGAGGCACCATTTCGGGCTTTCACCTTGCGATAGTTCTTAGAAGAAGCCTTCCTCTTCTTTCCCTTTCCTTGTCCAATTGCCAAGACAGGAGCGGCAGGCGGATTGGGAGTTGGTGCAACAGACTTCTCCTTGAAGTTGCTCTCAGCGACCCTCAAGAGACCTTGGAGTTTGCTTAGGGTGACCTCTTCTTTGTTCATATGATAGGTCATCCTAAATTGATTGTAGCTTGGAGGCAAAGAGTGAAGCACCATGTCGATCGCCATGTCTTCCCCAAAGTCAACGTTTAACTTGCGAAGGCGGTCGACATACCTTTGCATCTTTTGCAGGTGCACGGTAAGAGACTCTCCATGACCCATCTTAGCGGAAATCATGTTAGTGAAAATCTCATAACGCTCTTGTCTCACGTTTTGATGGTATCTCTCCAATAAGTCTTGGTGCATTTCGTACGGATACATGTCCTCGTAGGACTTTTGGAATTCGGGGTTCATAGTTGCGATCATGATGCAATGTACTTTCGTTGCATCACGCTCGTGAGTTTCGAAAGCGGTCATTTTGGCAGGAGTAGCGATTTCAGGGTTGATTTTCTCGAGCTTCTCATCGAGGACATACTCCTTATCCTCATAGCGAGCAATCGTGCGAATGTATCTTATCCATTCGCTAAAGTTCGTTCCATCAAAGGTGACCTTTTAACAAAGGCTCATCAAAGTGAATGAACTCGCAGAAGCGTTGTTAGCGTTCGAAATCTACAATAGAAAGGACAAAGATTGATTAGAATGTGAATCCCTAATTATCACCCAATAAGAAAAATTAGGGCTAGGATTCAACAACAATATTTACACATTAGAAAATAGATGTTGTAATCTAACATGCAAACAATTTGAAGGTAAGTGAATGACGATTCACTAATTCTCCACCATGAAAAACATAACTTTAAGTCCTAAATGTATTGAGAATTCCTAGGTTCGGATGAGATTCATTGAAACTTTTCAATGGCATGTTTAAATCTCGATATGCCCCTCTTGTTTGTGACTGGGATACCGAGGATCATAAAGCGGGTGTGAATTACCATGCAAATTCACATGGTGCCTTCATTGTAACGATCACCAATTCGATGTGCCAGTAAACCACACACGCTCCATCGAACTATGATAAACAAGGAATCACTCTTTGCCACCTTCGCCTAGAACCAATTAGTGTGCCGGTAAACCACACACGCTCCACTAACTTCTTAGCAAGGTACAAAGTGTAATTTCATGGGATTGCATCAATTCACTTTTCCTAAAGTAACTAAGATTGGGAAATTTTAAGAAAACATGTAGTTACTTTGTATTTCATATTATACTTTTAATGAGAGGATGGGGTTGCCCTATCCTACCCGTTCGGCTAACGACCCTCCACCGATCAAGCAAGCGGTGGGTGTGAGTGTACACCCATTAAGCGCCATTTTATAGGCCACAACCTTATACCCACCTTATAGACCAGCTTCGTGAATGAGTCCTACTAATGGTAAGACTAGCATTTAAGTTATACACATATAGATATTAATCTTGTAATATTATATTAGTATAGGATTGGATTTTAAACTTGTAAAATTCTAAGGTTTAAAATTTAAATTGTCTAAATTAAACTTTTAATCACAAAATACAAATTTCAAAACTTGAGGGCAAGTTTTTAAACATTTAAAACATAAAGGATCAAATAACAAATAATTCAAATTAACAATTAATCACATAATTATCCATATTTGATTTCTTGAAAAACAATTTACCAATTTAATCAAAATAATTAATAGTTATCATATAAGGAAATTAAATATTATTAATTGATAAATATCTTCAATTAGATCAAAAAATATAGTCATATATATCATAAAATCGGATTTGGGTTGATCTAATATGATTAAGGTAAGTTTCCATAAGATAAATATGAAAAAATCTTGTTTTTGGCTCTTCCTGACGCTCGGACTCGCCGAGTACCCAAACTGGACTCGCCGAGTCAGGCCAACTCGCCGAGTCCATGACTCAGAAACACAAAATTCGAATTTTGCAATTAACATTCAAACAATTAAGCATCAATTTAATAGAAACCAATCTAGTCTCTGATACCACTGATGGGTTTTGTACATAAGAACATTCCTATGTGCGCATACAAACCCTAATGCTTGGATCTAGGTTTCTCTAATTAAACATGCATTGAATCCAAGACTCATAATGGCTAATTAGGTATAAGAACAATACAAAATCAGAGTTAGAAGCATACCTTGAAACACTTGTTTGATCTTCTTGTTCTTGGAGCTTTAGAGTCACAATTGAAACTCCTCTAATAGCTTACAAACACCAACTAGCAAAGAGAATGATTTGAGAGAGAGAGGAGAGAGGAGGAAATCGGCCAGGGTATCCTTGCTGTAGAGGAAGTGTCGATTTCCCTATCCCAAGGGGTCTATTTATACTTGTAGACTCCTTAAGGGTTATAGCATAAACCCGAGTTGGATAATCATCTCTTAGAGTCATCCAAATCCTTACCAAAGATAGCCTTGGACGAATTTAGGGCTTATCCTAGCCTAGAATTCGTCCAACCCTTTATCCAATAAGGATTTACAGTCTAAAGTTTAACTATCAAGCAATTGACAGTTTATAGCCTCTTATTTAATTAATCTCCTTAAGTCACCAAATTAATACTAATTAATCTATGACTTATGTTAATCAAATAATAATATTATTATTCCTTATATTATTCTCATAATATATTAATAATATCTATTCTCTCATAATAAATCATCCTACCAAGTTGCTATGGTGAAGGCAACCCAAAAGGACCATGCACAATCGGGTCAAATACTTACCTAATATAGTTGCAGCCTTAGACACTATTCCAACAAAATGACCACTCACCTCTGCTTTATATACAAGTGACAGAATATGCTTTCATACAAGGGAAAATTCTAACTTAATAAATCACTCAATAGTGTAGATCATTTGTTCGTCTAACAATTCCCTAAATGCATGGAAATGATGAGGGTAATAAGCATTGATAAAAATCAGAACATCCAATGAGTGAGTGTGGTGCTGAAATATCTCGGAAGAGCTGAAGCGGTCATGATCTTGGAATTTGGCAATGAAATATCTAACATCAAATAACATACAGAGAAACCAACTCTATATAAAAATACGAAACCCCAATCTTTAAATCTAACCAGTCCATAAAAACTGACTATGTTCACAGTCTCCCCCCCCCCCCTCGACCGATGAATTGAAGAGCTCAATATCATATCACATAAAGGTTTTAATATTTCGAACTCGGATCATGCTACAAGAAATAATATGGATCCTATGAAAGGTGTAACAATGCCAAAAATTTAATCATTAATGATCAAAACTCAGTTCCACGTCGCATTGCCAAAATAATGTTCGTATTTAAAGTATCGCAAATCCAAGCTCGAAAAATCATAAAATCTTATCCGAATACTAGCACAAATGAGGCATCCGAAAATACAGAGTCTGAAGATAAATAATCATAATTTGAAGAACATTTAGTAATGCCAAAATTGGAGTTGTGAAGATCAATAATCAGTGTCACATCACATTACTAAATCAATCTTCGTCTTCAAATGTATGTAAAATCCATACTCTAATAGTAAAGTCACAATGGATGCTCATGATTTTCCCACAAATTTTGATCGATCATGCAATAATAAGCTAATATAATCATGAAATCGGGCAAGAGAATATGTCAAATATAATGGAGCATCGCATGCTCCCGCTTGAATTTAGCATCTACTCGTAAAAACAAGGATATTATTTTTAGGTCATGAGTAGACTTGGTGATATTTTGTTGAACTGAACAAATACTATAATTATATCTAATAAATTTGCTATTGAAGAATCCTAATGCTAAATCGAAGTAATGTTGATAACCAAAATGCAAACTTGAACTCCCAAAGCACGACCATTGACTTGTCAATCAAGGTCAAAGGGAATTGGTCTAGTCCTAAAATCTGATGATCTTTTTTCTGACGGTGGTCTGCGACCTTATGTAACCAGCCCAAAAGAAGTAAAAAAATGTGAACCTCAATTACCAATTGTTGGTTCCTATTTATCGATTGGTTTGGTGCAGAAATTAAAAACCAAGAAGATAATTGTGTATACACAATGATGAACATGAACATGTGAGTAAAATGTAACTTATAGATAGAGAGATACAACATATTATATAAAGAACACTCAAGGCTAGGAAGAATTCCCTAACCAACTTTCTCTCTCTCCCCCCCCTCCTCTCTCTCTCTCTCTCTCTTTCTCTCTTTCTCTCTCTCTAATAAATGTCTACATGGTAAACTCTTCTAACAAATGACCATTCACCTTAACTTTATATATTAGTGAAGGGAATATGCTTTCATACAATGGAATATTCCAACCTAATAAATCTCTTAGCATTGTAGAGCATTTCTTGCTCCAACACACTCTCCTCTTGATAAAGCTACCACTATTTACTCTGACAACATGAATGTGGCTTATCTATGCAACACACCAGTGCAACACAAAAGAACAAAGCATATACACATTGATATTCTCTTTGTTCATGATCGAGATCTGATCCGATCCTACGAATCCATAAAAAAAAATTTAAATGTAATCTAATTTTGATTATCTTTATCTATTTATTAACTGACCTAGTCTCCTTACCCAAAGGTTAATCGAGAATGGCCTCATTCTTATACTGTTTTATGAACCATAAATGATCAACAACTCTATAATTCTTATATTGTTATTATTTTCTGCACTTGAACTGTTGCATGAAGAAAATAATCAGTTTTATGAACCTAGTCTCCTTACCCAAAGGTTAATCGAGAACTGCATTTGAAATTTAACCTTATATTGTTATTATTTTCTTCATGTAACAGTTCAAGTGCAGAAATAGAGGTGATCCTCTTTCCAGTTTTTTTTATTTTTATATTTTTTAACCGCTCAAACCTTTCTCATAAGAGCTTGAAAACTTGTGATTTTTTTAAGCTTTAAAAGTTGAAAATATTATTTGTTTTCTCCCTTATTATTTAAGAAAATAATGTGTTAAATATTTAACACAAATAACATGAAAGTTGTGAGTTGCTAGTCTTCTCTGATAAATGATCAGTAATTTCGTTCAAGTTACTTAACCATGTCATTAACTACTAAATGACCTGTTATCTTTTTGAGCTATCTAACCCTGAAATACGGGAAAAATAATATATACAATTAGTTACCTTTTTATATCACTTTTTTGGGATCTTATGATTCTGATCCCAATCTTACGATCATGATCTTGCAAACTTGAAAACGATCATATATAAGCAGTGGTGGAACCAAGAATTTTGATATGGGGGTACAAACATTATCAATATATATTATATGTAATAACTCAATATCGAGCATTAAAAACATATTATAATCTCTTTAGTTGTGGTACAATAAAATGAAAAATGTTTATATATATATATATATATATATATATATATATATATATATATATATATATATATATATATATATATATGGGTACTGTAGTACCCCAATACCACATCTAGTTCCAGTACTTTGTATAAGATTTCGATCTTGATAATGATAACGTTGGTATATCTATTAAGCCATGCCATGCATTATTTGCATTTTGTATTTTTTTTTCTTCAAAATAATGAGAAATCGAAGGAAAATTATTCCAAACTTACAATTTGGTGATTTTTAAAATTTCAGTCACGTCAATACTTTCTTTCACGTATTATTATTCTGATTAAAGTTGTAAACACATATGAAGTTCCACGTCTAAACCAAAATCAAATTAGGTCTCGATTTTCCCATATTAATTACGGACAATATATATATATATATATATATATATATATATATATATATATATATATCAAAATTGTCGGTTCACGCCTGTTCTTCTTCTTCCTAATTCAGACCTCATGATCCATGGCTATCAAGTTCAAACTTTAGTTAGGCATTGTTTGTTGATGCACTTTATGATTAGGCAAACATATTTGGTAGTAGTTTAATTATGCCTATCCTAAAAGCTAAAAAAAAACATCCTCGAATTATGCTCGGTAAAAAACTTCGATTTACAAACAAAGTCTATTATGCATTATATAATGTTAGATTATGTTTCCATAATTCTTAACATTCCGTTACTTAATTGTGTATACATGATCAAAACACGAATATATAGCACCTAGTGAGTTCTTTCACATAAAAGATAAAACCAAATCCGTTTATGGTTTAGGGGTTCTTTTAACTTTCCAAAATATTAGTTCTTTTTGCTCAAATTATTAATTAAAACTATGAAATAAGATAATGACACTAGTGAGCTTGTTTTCTAACTAAATATTATTATTATTAATATAAAAAATTAGCATCACATTGCAGGTGAATATATAGAATCTCTAAGGAAATTGCAATAAAATCAAATATTTGAAAAACCCACCTCACCCCACCCCACCCCACCCTACCCCGCCCCCGCCCCACCCTACCCCATCCCACTCCCCTCTCTTATCTCTTTGAGGTTTAAAAAGAGCTTATTGCTGTTTCTCTAGTGTCTTTGCCACCCCCATGTTCCTTTCTACTTCCAAGATCCATACCCATAAGAGTACTCGGATTATACACGCAGACAGCTATCAATTTCAGCAGCTTATTGTGAGCTCTGTGAGTTTCGCCTAACTTTACGCATTAAAAAAAAGGTTTCTTTTTCCCCCCACTGACATGTCCTTCCTCCCACCTGAACCCATGTTTTTTGGCTATGAAGATGACCACCACCCTCCTCATGACTTCCAAGGTTTTTCCTTCTCTTTCTCTCTCTAGATCTGCATGTGGGTTTCTTGATCATCAAGTATAATCATAAGGTTATATAATTTAATGGGTTTGCCTTACTTTCTTAAATAATTGTGTGTATGTAGGTGTTCAGACACTCTTGATGAGAAGATCCATGTCTTATTCCGGGATAGACAGGTGTGAAGAAACGCGAGGTCATGGTGCAGCCGATGATGACATGTCAGAAGACGATGGATCGCAGCTTGGAGAGAAGAAGAGAAGGTTAAATTTGGAACAAGTTAAAGCTCTTGAAAAGAGCTTTGAATTAGGTAATAAACTCGAACCCGAAAGGAAAAGTCAACTCGCTAGGGCTCTTGGGTTGCAACCAAGGCAAGTCGCCATATGGTTTCAAAACCGAAGGGCTCGATGGAAGACCAAACAATTGGAGAAAGATTACGATATCTTGAAGAGACAGTTTGAGTCTGTGAAAGCTGATAATGATGCTCTCAAGAACCTAAACAAGAAACTTCATGCAGAGGTAAGAATTACAATACACTAGCTTAATTGTTGGATTCTTGAAAATTTTTACATGGGTATTGTTAATATCTATTTCTTTCTTCGAAATCATTATAAATTCTTTCAAAAGTCGAATCTTTACGACATGGGTAGTTCTAAAATTGGGTTAAAGATACATGTTTAATCATCAAGATTCATTTTTTTTTTCTTCAGTTATTGGCTGTAAAAGGTGGAGATCAATCAAATGGGGTTAGACCCATAAATCTAAACAAAGAAACCGAAGGATCATGGAGTAATGGAAGTGAAAACAGCTGCGATCTCAACACAGTAGCAGGCACCATGACACCATCGGAAGAGAGCCCGATATTTTACACACAAATATCGAACAACATGTACCCTACAATGTCATCTATGGGTCAAAATTCATCGGGTCTAACACAATTTCTACAAAATTCTTCAACAACAGATCTTCTTAGCCAAAGATTAAACCAAACAGTTGCAAACGAAGGCTTCTGTAACATGTTCAATGGTATTGAAGATCAACAGGCTTTTTGGCCATGGCCGGAGCAGCATCCTCAACATCTTCATTGAAGTTCATGACTGGATTTTTTGCTACATGAAAATCCCATTTTTTCGATTTAAATTTGATACGAGCACCCATTTTGCAATTTAATTGGTGTATAGAATTGAATTATATGCATTTTATTTTGATTATTTAAAGGGGAAATGGAAAATACGCATCGTCAATTTCTTGTCATAAATTAAATCCAAGTATATATAAAATGTTTTTTTTTTTTTTTCTAAAGAGATTCATGTGACATGTTTAATTATTAATTATATATTCTAATTCTAGTTTGGCCTATGTCTATATATTTAATTATTCTCGCATACATTTTAATGGAAATTCAAGAGTATTAATAATTTCAGATATAATATTTCGAATTTTCTTTTATATATTTAATTTTTGGTGTGGAACGATAGGGCTTATCGCTTTTCAAATTCACTTAGATCATAAACATACATCTTCTTGCTTCTGAAAATTTTCTATTTTGTGATTTTGCGCTGTACATGTGTACAAACTTACATGGCAGTTATATTTTAATAGTTTAAAAAGTGTAGTAGCAATTTTCACGTCAAATTAAAACCCAGGTATGTATTTGAAACCAGTTTATTCCAATTTAATCGAGAAAAATATTTGAAAACTAAACCATTGTTATAAATTAAACCAAGATCTAAAACCTTACCACTATAAAACGTCGAGTTTTGTGTTTAATGGGGAACAAAAAAGTAGGGTGTATATAGTGAAGGGAAAGGACTGAAAGAGAAAAAAGAAAGAAAAAAGCTAAAAGGAATCGAAGCACGTTTCGCAAAGAAAGCAACCTGCCAAACACAAAAAACCATCCTCCGTTTTTTTCCAGTTAACCCGAACCCACCCCCCATCAACCCATCAAGAGAGTCAAATCATAAAACTGTAACGCGTTATATTATTTATTTTATTTAGATAATTGAATTATGTCTTATACATGTTAGTGATGCTAGTCATTGTATACATAAAAAAGAAAGTAGTTTTTTTTTAACTATAATTTATTCTAAGGTTGAAGCTTATTACATGAATGAAACTCCATCTCTCTCAACTCACATATCATTTACTTTCTTCTTTCATTTTCATTTCTTTCAATCAGAGTACACAATTTTATTTTATTTTTTAAATTAAAAACTTTTCTAAAATTAAAAAACTAAAATTAAATTAAAAGATAACATTTAAATATAAAATCCAAACATTAATTAAGATCGTAAAACGGAAACTAAGGTGTTGTTTGTTTTTTTTGGAAAAAAACCTCTTCAAACCTCTTATTGTTGCGTGGCGCAGCACACGCGCGGTACTTTTCATCTCGCAGTTGTTTGTTTTTCAGAAGTCTTCTGCTTCAAAAACCTATGCACGTACTCTGTTTGGTGTATCACTTGTACTGCCTCTTCGAACCTCTTCTTCTTTTTTATTGCTGAAATTTTGATTACATGTTAAAATTTTAGTTCACAATTTTTTCGTTTTTTTTATTCTTGTTGAATTTATTTTTTGTTTTTTTATATTCAATAATTATAATTTCTTAATGAAATATTATTATTTTTTACTAAAATATCTTTATTTTTTTGTTGAAATATAATTATTTTTTACTGAATTATCATTAATTTTTATCGAAATGTTATAAATTGTTAAATTTTTACGTATTAAAAAGCTATTTTCAGTTTATAAAATTAGTTTATTTTAATTTTTTAATATCTGCAGCAGTATGTAGATGCTAAAAAAAGAAACACGCTTTTTATTACAGTCTGCAGCCGTTTGGTCCACCTCTTCTACTACAGAGGGTTGCAGAGGTGGTCTACAGACTTCATGAATTTTTGCTTCAGAAAATCAAACAGCACCTAAATTCTAAAAACAATAATTAAATCCTAAAAATGAAATCCAACAACTCTCAACCATAAATCGTTTATATTTACCATTTTTGGTAGCGAAAATTGCATTGAACATTCTTCCAGTAATTGATCATAAGGTTGAAGAAAGAACTGCAAATCTCTTTTTATTCTTTTTTTCATTGAGCAACCATAACTTCTTCTCCAAAACTGTTACTTTCTTTTGCTCACTCATTTCCATGATACAGTATCTATGAGCTCGTTATTGCTTTATGTCATCCACGTGTTCATCGGTTGTATGGGTGAGGTCGACGATTTTGGTTACGATGTTTGTCATTTTATGCAACTGAGAAGATGTCTATGTCACCTTCTTCCTTTTTTTTCGTGGCAGTTGCATTGTTTCAATAGGAAAATCTTTAGCATCTTCGTCAAATTCAGATGGAAATTGTGCATCTGAAGAGGTTGTATACATGTCGGAATTAAGTGTTTCGGTCCTTTTGGATGGAAGGGATTTTCACCCATTACTTCGACATTTAACCATTTTAAGTAGGATTTTAAAATATTTCATGTTTTCTCGTATGGAAAAGCTTTCATTTTAAATTCGATACTCACTGTAACACCAATAAAAATCACAAGAAACTTAAACTTTTAAAATCAACCCAATTCATAATTTGTTTACAATTCATAGATTTCAAAATATTTTCCTAACATCAGAGTCTCCCAAAATCATAAGTCATAAACAAGAGGATGTGTACGGTCACACCTTCATCTTCCCGCGGTCATCCGAATACCAAAAACATAACCTAAAACTGTAAGTCAACGCTTAGTGAGTTCCCCCAAAGTACCAACACATAAACAGATAACATATTGTAACGCTCGTAGATCCGGGCTAGTCAATTTAAGGACAATAGCGTCAAAAATGATTCTTTGATGGAAGATTGTTTAGAATGAATAATCATAACCAAGTTGTAGTATATGTCACAAGGTTTCCATGCATATAAAGAACACCGAAATCCGAGTTATAACGAAGAAGTTATGACCTGTCATTGGCGTTGTTAGCATTCAGGTGAGCCATGACAGCTGCTACGGCTGCCGACACTACAGCTTGGAACGTAGCTTCATCGAATAAGAGAGTAGGTTTCTTGCTTGTGGACTGGTTACGCTTCTTCGGAGGTATGGTTTTCCTACACGGAAAGGAATACAAGCTAATGAGAGACGAAGCTTAACCCTTGACGTACCAATCCTTACTATGTTAGGCCTAAATTTTTCCCGTGCCTCGAGTACTAGTTGTCTGAGTGTCGACCTACATCCCTATGATGTAGTCCTGGTATGCGAGGTAGGAGTGTGAGTATCGGAAAGGCCATAAGATGCGAGTCGTTCCTACTAAGTTACCTTTATACTGGGAAAGGTTTCACTCTCCGGTCTGGAAAGATTTGAGAACAGTTCGGAATGAAGTCTGTAGGAAGAAAAGCTCATGAAAACTTATGGCTAAATGTCTCCAATAGAGGTGTTGGGATCCGCTTTAATTGTGTTACTGGCATCGGGAAATGGCGATTTACGTAACACATAGTGTGAGTAGTGTAACCACTAACTCAACAAATTGTATTATTTTATGGGTGTATTAGCGTGACAAACACGAGGAAAAGACACTTCTCGGGTTCCATGTACTGGTTCCCTCTGTCTACCTCGTATTTTTGACTGGGACCGACATTGGTTTCCTTCGGGTAGTTACCTAGGGTTCTCTTCTCGTATGGACATATTGATTTTCTACTCCGCCTTACTTCCGAATCCGACTCTGGGTGTCATCACTTCATGATGGATGACTGGAAATCTCGGAAGTTTAGGCGAATCTCTCACTGATGTCCCTAAAAGATATACACACTTGGTGAATTCAATAGTCTCGACCTAGTTCATTCGTTTCTGAGCTGTAAATCTTCTCAATGAACTTCTTTGGGGTTGGAATCAGCTCTTCTGCCGAGTACTGAAGTGGGTAGGGTTTTCTACAGGGTTCGTGTGAGAATGGAAATGTCTAAAGAATCCTAAGAGATTATTAACATTCCACTGTGTGATCCATATCGAGTCCTGATACAATTACACAGGGTATACAAATCATATATAGCTTAGATCCGATAGGCCTTCGAATATGTGATACTACTCTATATCCACATCCAAACAAGGAAAAGGAAATAGGGCGAAACCACACATTCTTAGCCTATGGGATCCTTATTATATATAACCTTGGGAGTATACTCTCTGTATTTGTAGGTATGTCAATAAGGATCTTTTTAGTTCTTCACACAAGGTAAGTTATGGATCCTAAAATACCCCTATGGTATTTTAATTTACTCTTTGTTTCTTAACTTTGAATATAATTTTGGGATTAGTGTGAGTCTTTTAGTATTCTAAAATACTCTTATAGTATTTTTAAACTTTATGTTTGGATCTAGCATTCCTAGGTGGTAAGTTTCAGACCTGTTGCAACACCACTATCACTCCCAAGCACACGTTCATCGCATCTCGAATAAATGTAGTTGATCAGGTTACATTTATTCCAGCTTATGATTACATAACTGCTCAGGTTTGACTGTAGTGTTCAACATCCGAAGACTTTTATTCTTGTTCTTCTTGTGATACTTGTGTTCAAGTGTTTAGATTCTGGATGTTCTTATACTTTGGTAAAATATGGTTATATTTTAAAGTATAATTCTTGGTCAGAGTGTTTTATCCCTATGTATTCATAGGTTATATATCTTTTATGAATTGATATACTTAGCTCACTATAAACAATGCTCTGATACCAATCTGTCACACCCCAAAACCGGAACGGCGGAAACGTTCTGGGGTGGATGACGTCATGTCAAGTATCACAACACATGCATTATAGTAATCAAAGTACAGCAAAACATTGCATTAATAGTAACCGTTTTACATGGTTTATTTTACAATATATCAGAGTAATACAAGCAAATATAATAAATACAGCATGGTACTAAGCTATCTTCATCAACAGCTCCGGGGATGTATCTGTCTAATGCTGATCTGAGAATACAAGTTATTTGAAAAGCGAGTATCAGCATTTTTACAAATGCTGGTGAGTTCATAAGTATTTAGTGTCATTTTATACAAAAACTTTATATAAGTAGTAGTCTTCAAGTATACAGTAAAATAGAGTCCTTTCCAGAAAATCCTATATTTTCTTTAATAAAAGCAGTCTTCTACCAAGACTGGACGGAGTTATGTGGTAAAAAGTAGTTTTCCCTTAATCGCTATCATTATCAAAATACAGAAATTGATTATTAAAGAAAGCAAGAGAAATCAGGGAAATAACATATGCCTCAGCAGTGAGGACTGATGACTAAGGCAAAAGGAGTCATAGACTCCAGGTGAGTATCGAACGAACGACACGTCTGGCTCAGTCTAACAAAAGGAGATACAGACCCCAGACGGTACC